GAGTTATGTTCTCAAAACGAGACGGTGGTGGAGGTGGCATCATCCAGCTTCCATGGGAATGCTCCACTCTGTGACCATGAAGCATGGGATATTCACCATATCCTCCATGTCTAATGTTTCCTCGTGATGGGTAAGATGCATCAACACCTTGCTTGGGAACATTAGAACTTGATTCAGCCAACTTAAGAGAGAGACCAGAAGACATTAGGGACCACGGACTTGGAAGCAAGTTAAACTTTCCCTCCTGATCAAGTAAATGTTTCTTAATTGGATTCATAGTTGCCACAGCTTGATCAGCGAATGATGAGCAGTGACCGTGGGTGAGGTCAGCATTGGCTCCAAATCCAGATAGTAAATCTGTATAAGTTGGTTCATGCCTTCCTGTAGGCATCCAACTCTCTGAACCATATCGTCTTGAAGCAGAAACTACGTCAACCTTGTCATCATCTATTGAAGGTTGCCATACAACAGACTTCTCAGCAGTATCAGATTCATTACTCTCTGCAAAATTGCCCTTCAAGGTCGAGAATTCTTGACCTTGCAAGACCCTCGAATAACCACTTGCTGGCGAAGGGTCTACAGTTACCTTAGATGAACCTAAATTACAGGGAAAGAAATAAAGAAAATTCTTAATATCTTTTGGCTTATCCAAATCATTATAACATCAAAATTACATGCTAAACTAATTTTGAGCCATGATGCAAAAGTACCTTCCCGAGTGAGCACAGATGAGTCAGGTGATGAAGGCAGCATGTTTGGTCTAGGCCTTTTGGACCTGGGCATGGGAAGGGGATTCAATGCCGGAGGAGCCAGGGCAGGCTCTATTTTCCAAGGGGAAACTCTTTCTGGTCGAGGTATAGTTGATGTTTCATCCCACCTTACCTGAGTGTAAGATTAAGACATTCTTTTAGCATTCTTCTCACTAACAGTACCATGAATTATTTGCAAAGACTTAAATACTACCTTAAGGCATCTCCATTTGGATTCTCGCCATCTTTGGGGGTCAGCATCTTCAATTCCAACAATAGTGCCAGTAAACCTACAGAAGAAAGGAATCAGTCAGTCCCAGACACCATCACGAATGAAACTACCCCACAAAGTCAATGGCATTTCCTGTTCCAAAAGGTAACAGTAAAAAGGACAAATGGTAAAAACAAACTAAAGAGTGCTACTTTGATAAAAGAACAAATCCCACCCAGCTTAATATCAAAAAAACAATCCACTGATAATCTAGAGAGAGCATAGCACAACTGATTGACACAATATATACCTCTGTTCTGGAGCTTCTTCACCTTCAAATCTCATTTTGAATCTCATCCCGATTGCATAGCTGTTCTTAACGGACTCCATATATTGATCATATGGAACAATAAACTCGGCAGGACTAGTTCTGTTTCAGGATATCAACAGTAGCACAGGTGAGGAATTGGCCAAAAGCAACCAGTTCTTTCAAGTAAGATTCTCCAAGAATCATTCAAATCATACCAAAAGAAAAGAAAACAAATAAGTGGAAAAAAATAATTTTGATTGAGTCAGTACCGAGAAACTCAAGTCCGTAACTTATGAGATGTATAACATCTTTACGAACCTACATTTAAAACGTCTATTATATTAATTTCTAAGAACACACCTAGGCTTATAGTAAACCGTGAACATAGTTCCCGTCGAGATTGCATGCCATGCCGTAGCAAGAACGCCAAGATGCATACTATGACTAGATATTACGGAGGACGGAACATTGCCTTGCTGTCTCATTGCACGCCTTACACCAACACGAAGTTCCCCATTCTCACCCCTGTAGTTTACAATATACTCCCAGTTAAACGTCAAGGTAAAGAAGGCATCAAAGCCAATCCAAGAAATATTTTATGTGAAGAAAATTGCTGACCTTAAGAATATAAATGCATCTCCTGCAACAAGCCTCTTGGAGCTAACGAACACACTCCAACCGCTCTGAAGCAAGTGCCTGCGCGGCTGACCTGGCATTCAAATTACGGAAAAATTAAGTGATCTGAAAGCTGCAATAGCACCAACAAGAGACGACTGTATATTTCTTGTTAAAGTTAACGCAAACTTGGATAATCGGATCAAATTAGGCATACAATTTCAGCCCCTTAACGCCCACCACCAAAAATAGCATTAATAACGTTTTCGAAGGTGAGGGGAGGCAAAAGATGTTGCCTACAAGAACTGGTCCTGTATGTGTTCGTCAACCATTACCTCGGAAAATATGCCTGAAGTGCCACACATTTCCATGTAAATCCTTTGCCGCCAGCTCCTGGGTGGGAGGCTGCCGTGACATATCCTATCGGAAAAAAAAAGACGAGAGCAGAGTCAAAAACTATTTCCCATAAAGAGACTGAGAAACAATGATGGGCTATCGAGCTGGTATGAAACTCACCAGAGGCGGCAGACACTCATCGGCATGTCGCCTAAGAACAGAAAATCCACCGTGAGTACTTGTGTCGGAAGCAGTCAGCGTCTTACAAAACGAATGTACATGAAACCGCGGCGGCTGAGGTGGGGATGGCTCCTTATCCACCGCATTCTCATCTTGCTGGCATTTAATGAACAACGAACTTTTAAAAAAATTCCGAACATGAATTAGATCCAAAAATGTAATGAAAATTAGTGACTTCGGTAAGTACGTTCGGCTCTGGAAGTAGAGTAACTTGCGCAAACACCTCATCAGTATCCGGTTCAGCCTGCAAATCACAATGATAATTATTGTTACATAAAACAAATTAAAATTTCTGATCCCAGAAACCCTCAATGAACTAAAAGCCCGCTATAACCAATTTATTGTAAAACCCTAAAAACCTGATTTTGTCAAATGAAGGGCAAACAACTTACCTTCAATTGGACATTAATCACACGACAAAGGATCTTCGAAGGAAGATTATAGACTGGCATCTTTTGGTCTGCAACCTGATTGGTAGACGCCTCGACCTAATCCATTAAATTTCATATATTAAACCAGAAGAAACATGGAGAAGAAGGTAACAAAGAAGATGAACTAAGGCCGTATCCAGCCAGAAGAAACACGAAACGAATCACAACAATCCAAAATTTATCGTTAACTTTTTATACCGTAGAATCATAACCTATATACAGGGGTGAAAAAGTAAGCAGATTCAAACCTGCTCGATGTGTCCCTGAGGGAAGTAAAAGACACGCTCTCTTTCTCGAGGGACAGTAACCAGAGGACCGGCACAAGCATGCCATAGCTCCGTGTAAAGCGCCGCTTCTGGGTCCACTAGAAATACACAAAGCCAACACACAAGAAACCGAGTATGAAAAGCCAGATCACCGTAAGTTCGCCGAAATCTGGGCTAATTCCAACCGAAAGTTAAACCAAAACGACCGGAGTTTACCTCTAGAAGCATTGGAAGTCGTAGAATGACCGTTCTGCCCCTCCATAGTGTTCCTACCATGGTTAGGCTCACTGTAACCCGAAGAAAAGCTCTCTCCTCTCCCGTGAACGGAATTTTCCTTTATTGACACCTCTGAAGAACCCATTTCTTTAATATATCAACTCAGATCTCTCATCTGGAACTCTCGATACACCTTCAAAGTATCTAAGCACCCTCAGAGCACTAAAAAAACCCCCAAATTCAACACCTTACTGAAACTATCTTCTAAGAATCTACCTTGCAACAAAACAAGGCCGTAGCTCTATTCGTGGAAACTAAGTAAACCCACAACAAATTCTTCTTTTTATTCAACAACTTCGTTCAACCTCCTTGATCAAACCTCGATCAAAATCTAGACCGCAAAAGAATCTATAATTGCCTCTGAATTACACCAGTTCCTCGATTGAAGTATCTATCAGCTCCCTTCCCTCTCTCTCTCTCTCTCTCTCTCTCTCCACTTTCCCTCTCTAGTCGCTTTCTATCTCTCCTCTGCAAAGCCACCTCGGGCTCTTATCTCTGTTTCTCCCCTCAGCAATCAATTGCAGGTGCCAGAGCTCGTACACAAAATACAGCCCCGCGCTCTCTCTCTCTCCTCTCTCTTCCACCTTTCTGATTCTCTGATTCTCTCTCTATCTCGGTCTGAGGAGACGAGGCTTAACCAGAGTGGTCAAAACTGGTGCAATCATTTCAACCGCGGTCAATTTCTAACCAGTTCATTTGGGGGCAACCGGCATTTGCCGGTGAAGATCTTTAAAGACTGGCTACACCCGGCGCGACCATTAAGGGGACCAGATAAAGCGACACGATCAGGGAGAGGTTGATTAATAAAGGCGGCTTTAGAGAGAGATGCAAGCGACGTTAGGCTTGCCGTTTAACAGTTGTCCACGCTCTATTGGTGCAGCAGCTAACGTCGTTTGTCCTGGCGTTAGTGGGAAAGTTGTTCTGTTTTTATGGGGAAGTGGCTTTGTCGTGCTATCAACGGGCAGGTCCGGATGGAAGCGAAGAGGTTGGGAGCGCGTACATTACACATTCCTGGCGCACTTTAGCAGTCTTTTATTTTTCCATTGGTTATGGGGTTCCCCTTTAACATACTTCTAGCGTGCGCCTGGATGGTAAGGTGCCTCAACCCCCTCGAACAGTCCTCCGTCTCCTTAATGTATCATATCGCTTATTTGTCGCGGCGCATAATTAACAATTTATTACGCGATCGTAAATTTGTGTTGAGCAAAAAGGTAAAATCCATTAATTTTTTTAGAAAAATTTTATTCCATAAATTTAAAAGCGAATTTAACTGGTTAATAAATTCGATTATTTGTAATTAAGTACAAAATTAAGCATATTTTGTTTGATTTTTTAATAATTTCATGTAAGATTATTGTTATTAATTAATAACAAAATATATTTTAATGTATATTCCGTCGTCTGCGAAGAGAAATACGAATGAACTGAAATAAAAAAAAAAAAAAAAAAAAAAAAAATAAATGGGGGAGGTTAGGCGAGAAATTGGGAGAGAAAAAGAGAAGAAATGGAAGGGGGAAGGGCAGGTCACGTGTTGGCGGAAGGTGTCAGTGGGGAAGTAAGAAGGTGGGACCCAGGTGCATTGTCTAATAGCAGTTGTGTATGGTCTAAAGCAACAAATGGAGGAATCTTTGTCCGGAAAAGTCTCATTAGCCTTAAAATGAATTTTATTTAGTTTTAATTTATTTATTTTTTTTTTTTACTTATTAAGAAAATGAAGCCCTAGGTATATACATATACATATATATATATATATATATATAAAAGAAGAGGTGGAATTTTTCAAGTCATGTTAGGTTTCTTTGGGAATGGGCATGGCCCCTCTTTGTGGTTAAAACATTTTTATACACCTTATGTCATTTTTGGCATCAATTCATTCTATTATATTCAACCTAACTATAAATCTAGATAATTTAAATGTTACTTATTCAAATTTTATTAAAAAATATATATATTTTATAAATATATAATATTAAATTTAATAAAATTAAAATCTTAACTCAATTACTGTTAGATAATTTAAATAATTTATTATTTTTTAGACAAAAAATAATAAAAAATGTGTCATAATCTTTTAATTTTTTTTCTTTTTTTAAAAAATCATTCAGTATTATTTTATTTTCAATTCTCTTTCCAATAAATTTAACAATCACTCCACGTATTAACTACTTTTATTTAATTAAAAAAATAAGTAAAAAATTCTAAGTGTGGGTGAAAACTTCAAATAGGTTCCCTTAATTTCATGAGAAAAAATTGATTACAATTATTATTAATTTAAAAAAAAAAAAAAAAGTGGCGAATGAGGAATTAATATAAATTGTAAATAAATTGGAAACTGGAATTTATACTACCTTTTGTATATGTAGATATAATTGAAGTAGGGATGCTACGTCCCACGTAATGTTGATAAATTCACTACATCTAATTTAAATGGGCCCAACACTCCCCTCTTGCAATTTTATTTTCTTTTCAAATAATAATAAAACTCAAATATTTAAAAGAGTGAAATTTTAAGAACATTGAATTATTAGAATGTAATGCATGGACACGCAAAATACATATATACATATGTTTGCGTGTAGGTGTATATAACATCTATACATGTTTGGTTCGTGCAGTGAATATTTTTAGAATTAAGCCCCTGTATCAATCAATGGGGATGCTAATTTCATTTTTGACTCACTTTTCTGGTTGCCCTTCACGGTATGAATTTCAAGACAAAGACCTTTGGGTTTGCAATTTACAATATAACTGATTTTATTGCAATTGACTTTTCCAACTCCCCCATTTAATGTTTTTTTTTTATTTTATGCAAATAAAATGTATTTCGTTTTTTTTTTTTTTAGAAAAATAATAATAATAACTATTATACTATATAAAATTTAATTTTTATTTTTATTTTTAAAATTTTAAATTAATTAATTATTATAATACTATTAAATTTATTTTTATATTTTAAAAATTAAAATTGATAATTATTATATATATTATTACATTACTTTTTATTTTCATATGTTTGTAATTAATATTAATATATTATTTTTTACTTCAAAAAAAAAAAAAAAATGTCATGTACCATTTTTCTGTATTACTTACATATAGAGAGAGAGAGATTATTTTTGACACTGCTAAATTAGTTATCTAGTTGCAAAGTTAATACATATACTAAATTAGCCATTTTAACAAAATTAAAATTTCTTAAAGTGCTTATATATGAAATCTACAACAACCATCGTATTATTATTATATATTTGTAGAGTTTTGGATCTTTTTTTTTAATTATTTAATTATCCAAATAATTAAATTATTTTTTTAAATAATAAAATAAAATTACTTCAAAAAAATATGAAATGAATACCTTCAATGTTAACCGAAGAAGACCTATAACAATTATTAAATAGCAATAGTACTCATATAATCAAACATGATGATACATTACTAATAAAAATACGCATTTACCGTGATTACTGTACGATGTTTGCATATATAAATATCTAAAAGTATGCACGATAATTAAAAATTTATATATTTTTAATAATTATATTGACTCAATATTAGTCATTATGGAGACTCTACTTTCGTCAATTATAGTTAACTATTGAGTAATTATATAATATTAATAGTTATACGTTGTGTAGATACTATATACTCATAAATTAAAAAAAAAAAAAAAAAAAAAAAAACTTAGATTTACTTGTACTCTCTTTCGTTACTAATATATTTTTTATAGACTTGGACATACGAATAATGTATTTTGATAACATATATGGTCAATTCGTGTACTAACATTTGAAATTTTCAATTAACAAGAAGATTGTCTAACATGTAACTCTTTCTAGCGAAATCATTTAATAGGTTATCAGCAAGCAAGTAATGTCATTGGACATTAACCAAATAAATGAATACTACATGTCAACAAAAAACTTCATTTATTATATATTAACGTCTCATCTAACTAGATAGTATTTTGTCAAAACTCAACCTCATTAAAATTAAATATTATTTTTAAATTAATATTGTCAAACA